GGCCAACAGATAAAAAATCCTTCTCAACCATCCGTCGGGCCTTCAAATATGAAATAACTCTGCTAGGAACATAGTCTAGAGAACCTCTCTACTCGATCTTTGGCAACCCCAGCATCGCCAACGTTACGGTCTTAGCGTGACAATCCAGAATAGCATGACATGGAGACAACCAATCCATACCCAAGATCACGTCGCAATCAACCATACTAAGCAGCAAGAGATCAACTCTAGTCTCTAATCCCCCAATAGTCACTATACACTATCGATATACGTGGTCCACATCAATAGTATCGCCCACTGGCGTAGATACATGAATAGATGAAACTAAGGACTCACGGGGCATATCCAGATAATGAGCAAAATACGATGATACATAAGAATAAGTGGAACCAAGGTCAAATAATACAAAGGCATCCCTGTGGAATATTGAGACAATACTTGTGATCACTACATCTGAAGCAACAACATCTGGTCTGGCAGGAATAACATTGAATCGGGCCTGGCAGTCACCTGATCGGACACCCCCTCTAGGGCGACCCCTAACAGACTGAGCCCCACCCTGAGCTGGTTGAGTGGGTGGTGTAACTGCTGGTGTTGGTGCCATCGGCCGATAACTCTACTGTGGAGCCCAACTCAATAACCTAGGACAATCTTACTTGATATGACCAAAGTCTCCACATTTGAAATAACCCCTCCACTGACGGAACTGCTACTCCTGATAACCCAAGGAACTACCTGTAGAAGCATGAGCGGACGAGGCATGGTGAGAACTCTGCGCTGGTAGTGCATTGAATGAAGACTGGCCTGAGTGAGCACTGTAAGAACCGTGGCTAGCTGATGCACCGCAATGAGCTGGATGAACCATCTGAGCGGGCCTATAAGGACAACCCCTGATGTGGTAGGACTGCCCCCCAAAAGGTACACCGCTGAAACCACCCGATCTACAAGGCCTCTTGTCCTCCCTCTCTTCGCGCTCCTGATTGCGGACCATCTCTATCTGCCGAGCAATGTCAACCACCTCATCAAAAGTAGCACCAAACACTCTCTCCCTAGTCATAAGCAACCGCAGCTAATACGTGAGGCCATCAATGAACCTCCTAGTCCTGTCCCTATCAGTGGGAACCAACCAAACTGCGTGACGAGCCAACTCAGAAAACCTCATCTCGTACTGCGTCACAGATATGCCCTCCTAACGTAACTGCTCAAACTGTCTGCACAGCTCCTCCCTGCGAGACTCACTACAAGAAAAGTGTCATTTACATGGTAATTTTTTCTGCAGGTAATACATGCAAATTTTCATGGGAAAATCTAAAATTCCTAAATATAAGAATATTGTACTTGCGAAAACGGGATTCCCAGGAAATTCCGCAGGTACATTTAGCGCCATCTAGAGCGAAAATAACACATGGGGAATTAGTTGGGAATTAAATCCGCATATAATATATTCGTAGGAAAATCCGCAAGAAAGCGAACGGAAATAATAATAATAATTTTTCCTTTAATAATCCGCATGAATATCTCCAGGTAGACTACCTGCGAGTTTTGATAGGGATAATCACATGGGGTTTTACATGAGGATATTATTTACTTGTAGAATTACTTGGGGATATTGTTGCTGCGAATTTTGTTGGGGATTTATTCGTGGAGATTTACCTGGGGATATACGTATCTGTGAAATTACCCGGGGATATAGTTCTTGCGATTTTAGTTGGGGATTTATTCTTGTGGATTTACTTGGGGATATTAGTACCTGCAGAATTACATGGGAATAAAGTTGTTGCGATTTTAGCTGGGATTTATTCTTGGAGATTTACATGAGCATATTTATACATGGGGTATTACTTGGGGAATTTCACGTATTATTGAGCCATATGAAATACATTGTAGAAGTATATTATCAACAAAATAATTGACTTTTATGGTATCTTTCTTTCCATTACGAATGATATGCTTCGCCTACTCCATGTCCAGTAACGCTCCTGCCCAGAGCGATTTATTAAAAAAATATTATAATTAATGATTATCAAGGAGTAAAGTGACTCGTTGTTTTAGTCATTATTGTCGAGTAAACTGACTATAAAGATGATATATTGGTTAATATAAGCAATATATAAAGAACAAGATGATTAGCGTCGAATAAACTAACTATAAAGGTGATATATTGGTTTATAAACTAAAGGTGATATAAGCAATATATTGCTTATATAAACCAATATATTACCTTTGTTACTCGACAATAATACTTATAGCAATCTTACTATCATTGAGGTGATGATGTTTTGCCACATGTTGCTTTTGGTCTCGATGATATTAAGATTGCTATAAGTATTATTTTATTAATTATAGTTATCTTATTAAAATAATTGCTTAGTGAGAAATTTTTTATTTATTTATTTCGAACACAATTCTAAGTAAAACGATAAATCTCACTAAGACATCCAATCAATTACTCTTTGATATTAAAAATGAATAACTTCAGATCAAACAATAAAAATTTAAGTTTGCACTAGCGGACAATATATAATGACATCAAATTGGGATAGGATAGTAAAAAAATAAATTTTTTTGAGTCATGTGAATTTTATTTTTTGATTTTTTAAAAAAGTGAAAATAATATATTTTTTCCATGACCCATTATTCATTTGTTTTTAATGAGATGGTTGTATTTATATATTCAAGAATTTTCAGATAAATAAATAAATGTGAATTCATAAAGATAAGAATTATACATAAAATTAACTAAATACAAATGAAAAGAAATAAAACGCACAATTGAATTGTTTCCCTCTTAAGTTTTTTTTGCCAAATACGGAACGCGCGATTTTTTCTCTCTCTAAGATGGCTCTCAATTTCGAAACCCCTTCACATTGCAATACCAAATTATAGGGCTCAAGGGTTTCTCCACTACAATTATTCTCGATCCAAGGCTTTCCTCTCACGCTCGGCAATCCTCGGCAAAGGCCTGAAGAAGGTAACCCGCAAACCAGCAAAAATCGACTCAAAAGTCGTCCTGCGGGCCCACGTCTCAAAATTCGATTAAAGTCACAAAATTCGAATACACATTTAACCACGAGTCCAACCATACCAACTTTATCAAAATCCGACACCAAATCGTCACCCAAATCCCCAAATCAAACCCTCCAAATCCCTAGCCTCAAACTCCCAATTTACACCTTAAATACACACCAACTAGGTAGGAATGGGGAAGCAAGATTATTGATCAAAAATGAACACAAGGGATCTACCTCAAGAAACCCCTCGAAAATCCTCTCAAGAATCGCCCAAACCGTGCTTGAAATGTTTGAAATGAAGCCAAAATCGCAAACCCTTATTTTAATAATCTGCCCCAGGCTCTCTGCTTCTGCGGACACTTAACCGCTTCTGCAGCATCGCAGAAACAATATCACACATGCATCTGCGGCCCATTCCGCTCCTACGGTCCCTCACTCCGCTTCTGCAAACTCGTTTCTGCGCGCATCCAAGCCGCTTCTGCGGCGTCGCAGCTCATCTTCCCACTTCCGCTTACGCGGTCCTCCTGCCACATCTGCGGTCACGCAGATGCGGAACTCCCTATCGCACCTACGCGCCTTCCGCTTCTGTGCACCTCTCGCCGCACCTGCGGCCACGTAGGAGCAGAACAGTCCTCGCACCTGCGATCACCTGCAACTCCCCTCCAATCTCGTATCTGTGCAAGCCAACCCGCACCGACGAGCTCTCACCCGCGATCAAAGCTCCACAAGTGCGGTTACACCAGCAGAGGTCCATCTTCAACAATCACACAACTTTCACTTTTGATCCGTTAACCATCTATAATCAACCCGATGCCCCCGGAACCTCAACCAAACATACAAACAAGTCCTAAAACCTCATACAAACTTTTTCGAGCCCTCAAATTACATCAAACAACTTTAAAAACATGAATTGCACCCCAATTCAAGCCTATTGAAACTAAGGAAATTCAACTTCAACAAACGATGCCTAAACCTATCAAAACACGTCCGATTGACCCCAAATTTTGCACACACGTCACATTTGACATTACGGGCCTACTCCAACTTCCGAAATCGGAATCGGACCCCGATATCAAAAAGTCAACTCCCGGTCAAACTTCCCAAAAATTCAACTTTCGTCATTTCAAGCCTAATTCCACTACGGACCTCCAAATCACAATCCGGACACGCTCCTAAGTCCAAAATCACCCAACGGGGCTAACGACGCCATCAAAACACCATTCCAAAGTCGTTTACTCATAGATCGACATTCGGTCAATCATTTCAACTTAAGCTTTCAACTTTGAGATTGAGTGTCTCATTTCATTCTGAAATCTCTCCGGACCCGAACCGATTATCCCGGCAAGTCAAATAACAGCTATAAAGTACAAAATGAGCAGTAAATGGGGGAACGAGGCTACAACCCTCAAAACGACCGACCGGGTCATTGCAGATGGTGGTCGGTTTCTTTGTGAGAAATATTTTCTTTGACTTTTGCGACCAATTTATCTATTTTTCGACCGATTTCGATCTGTATTCTGTGGACGATTTTTGACAATTTTCTAGTAGTGTATGTACTAACGGAGCAATTAATAATGTTCAATCTACTCTCACGGTGATATATGTCAATCGATTGCAGCCAAACTACATATGCAACTTTTAAAATTACTAATTAGAAATTAGAGAAAAGTTTGAGGTACGTATTTTAACATTACAAAGGAAGATTGGGATACTTTCTCGAGTCAGATAGAAAAACAAATTTATTTGCATCTGCAAGTTAAGCTTAAAAAATCTTGTTGACGAATGAAGATTGTTCAGATATAAAGAATCCCACTTCCAACTAGTAAATTAAGATACGAGTAACCTTAAATTAAATAATTAGAGAAACAGTGTTGATTTTCCCGATAAATCGATAGAAAAGTCATAAACCTTGATTTATTTGGGGAGCCACCCCTATTACTAGTAGGAGTATATTTTTATTTTTGACTTGGGAAAAGTAAGTCGCTGAAAAAGCTCAATCATAGCATAACTGGGAAAAAGCCCAATCCTTCCTTTTTCACCACTCCCCACTCTTGTTGTTCTTGACCCCTACTTCACTACTTCCATTCCCCAACTCATCTCCAGACGTGGAAATTCCTTTCTAATTAATTAAGTACCCCACCACTCTCCACCTTCCAGCTCTCCTAAACCTAAAAGAAAAAGGTAAAATATACTATTACTCACGTTTTCTACATAATTCTCTCTGTGTTGTTATTATACACATACCCTAGCTATAACCTGTACACAACTCCTCCACCGCCATTCCTTAACGCAACTTCCAACTTCCCCATCACTCCCTTTCTTTTTTATATACAAAACTTCTCGTTAGTCCTTTACTCACTCACTCACTCAACTCTTATTCACTTTTCCCGTTTCCTTCTTCCTCCTCATCGTATTTTCTCCTGAATTTGATCACACAACAAGAACAAGTTATGGCTCTTGAAGCTTTGAAATCACCAACAACAGAATCAACTCCTACTATACCACCCATCTATGACCAAGTCAATTTGGATTCTAATACCAAGAGAAAACGTTCGAAACGTCCTCGCAATGAAATCCAACCAACTGAAGAGGAATTTCTTGCCCTCTGTCTTATCATGCTCGCTAGATCAGGCGGCGGCCGCACAAATTCTACTCATCATGATAATATTACTACTACTACTACTGCTGCTGTCCAACAACAAAAGAAACAAATTACCAACGATCCACTACCACGAGAAGATCAAGAAGCATTAATAGAGCAACATTCTTACAAGTGTAGCGTATGCAACAAGTCTTTTGCTTCTTATCAAGCACTTGGTGGGCATAAAGCAAGCCACCGTAATAAACACTCCACTACTACTGCCACCACCGTTTCAGATGATAATTCTACATCAACTACTTCTTTAAACCCTAGTGGTCGTTCTCACGAGTGCTCTATATGCCACAAGTATTTTCCTACTGGTCAAGCTTTGGGTGGCCATAAACGCCGCCACTACGAAGGCAAGATTATTGGTGGTGGTGGGGGTAGCCGTGAAGCCGGTGGTAGCCACACCGTGATATCGTCGGAAGCCGGTGGCTCAGCCCGGACAGTGAGAGACTTTGACCTGAATCTGCCGCCGCCGCCAGAATTTTCTTTGGGACTGACCGTTGACTGCAGAGGTAAAAGTCAACTTTCCAGCGAGCGAGAAGTAGAAAGCCCTATGCCTACTAAGAAACCGCGTTTATATTTTTCGGATTGACGGGAATTAGTTAAATTGTTAGAAAAAATAGTTAATTGATTCACTGTGATCCATTTTTTTTTTTGAGAAAAAGAAACTATAGTTTTATTACTTAGAGTACTTGATTTAGGACACTGTTTGTTAGAGAGAGTAGGCCATTCTTGTTGAACTTCGTTATTGGTTATTCATTTGTTGAGTTAGATCATTGACACATGAATACAGAATTACTGGAATAATTTTATTGCTCTACTGGCCTTTGTTTGTTAGTTGAATGTTTTGACTAGAAAAGAGTACGATTTATGGTATTAATTATTTTTATTGGTTTCTGAATATGTGTATATGTATTTAACAAAAAATATAATATTGCTATTTGAATTGAATTAAACGTTTATACACGGATAGCATAAGACTATTTACACTCTATATAGCAAGTAACTTACGTTATTTTCTAATTTATTACCTTCACTCTTTTATGAGCGATTGTTATGCAATAAGTTTTTTAATATTACAAAATTAAATTTGTTTTATATTGTTAGTGATTTTATAAGTCAAAGCGATTTTGAAATTATGTCGAACCCTATGTCCCTTTTGAGACAAAAAAAATTACTAATTGAAATTATTCCAAGCTTATATGTTTTGTAAGGTCCAATTGCGAGACGGTGGACGTGAAGGGTGGCGGTGCATGCAATTGCACGATGTAAAAGTGCTATCCATATGGGTATACGGTTGCCTCATGTGGAATTTTTGTCCAAATCCACGTTCTATTTCCATTTATTATCGTTAGCAATATGTACAAATCCCTCATGTTTTGTTTAATCACATGTTTTTCTAGCCAAAAATATGAGAAAGAAAAAGAATTATTCCTTTTATTTGACTTTTTCGTAAGGAGCCATATATGTATTTGGAGGTATCCTTTTCAGTTACAAGACCAACGTTCTTGTTGTATATTAATTATTTCCCAAGTCAGTGTATATGTGTGCAGTGTATCAGCATTTGCTATGGCCAAATTATTGTCTGCTCAAGTCATGTTAGTTGAATAGTTTTTATTCTAAAGTATAAATTAAAGCTAAGTATGCATCCATCAAAAGAGATTAATGGGTGCATTAGTAATTCCACTTAGTAACACTACTGAATGTGGCTCTGATTTAACAAAATGTATCAATGGAATAATAATTTAAGATAATTAGCTCACGGATTAATTATTTTTTAAAAATTATGTATGTATGTACTATAAAATTTCTTGCTTTTTCTCTCTCTTGACAGCTTGGTGAAATTGAAAAGATAATAAGAACATTTTTCACTTCAGTACATTTGACCAGTATAGCAAGTTTTTCTTTAAAACTATTGTATAACATTTGATTGAAGCGTTACCTGTTATTGTGGATTAAGTACTTGACCATACTATGGATCCAGTAAGATATAAACTCAAACTGAAAATAGTTACTAGGAAAAGTGGAAGAAGAGCAGCAAAAGTTGAGTTGGTTGAGACTGAAGTGTGTATGCATTTAGTTTTGTTTTGTTAATGTACCCCAAAAAATAAAAAAGTAGCAAGGCTACGTGTAGACAGTGCAGCAAGCCAGCGTCAAAAAGCAAAGTGGAAGTTTTATTCTTGAGTAGCACATTACGCGGTCTTGAATATCTTTATATTGCTATTAATTTAAGGAGTAGAAGTAATCCTTTCAATTTTTTAATATAACATACACATGATGTATGATTGATAAGTGATGGGATATATTCTTGTGTTCTTTGAGTTGTCAACTAATTATGTTGCCTAATCTGCTTTCCTTTGCTGGACTATGCGGCGTGGTGTTCATTACCTAGGGGATTAAGTAACTACGTGTTAAAGTGTTGGCTTTGTAATGACTCGAGATTATGGGGAATTGCCATTTCATTGAACCCAAAGTCAATAATTCTGCCTCATACAATATCTTTCCTGAGCTAAGAATTTTTCTCAACAAGATATCCAAAAACCAATTTAAGTTTATTTAAACTTGCTTTTTAGGCTCGCTCAACCCTTCCACATAAATTAAAGTATTCTAATACGCTGGATTCTTTCGAATATGCATACCCCGTGATTTGATCGGCCATCATGGATTTGTGAAAGTGAGAGTATGGAGTATTATTACATCGTTATTGGTGTCACTAATCCATAAGCAAGATGCAAGAACCATTAGGCCCCAAATTTGGGGGGCCCATTTTTACCAAAAATAAGTTATAGATTTCTAGTTTTGTTTCCCCTAAATATTGAGAAGATGAATTTAAGAAAGACATAAACATAAAGAATTCTACATGTATAGAACCTTTAGACCTAAATTTTATTATTAACAATGTAAGAAAGGGAGTGCAAAGACCATCGTAAGTAAATTAATTAAGTTCGTGTCTCATTTTTCATGCATTTGTTTCTTATGCCAATGCCTCAATTGATTTGAATGTTCTTATTACTCTTTTTTTAAGCAAATAGGCTGATTGCCTAGTAGCTAATATATATA